ACTAAACCCGATGCAGGACTCTGTTGTGGAGAGGCGACCCTGCTCACAGAAAGAATACCTGTTTTTTTGAGGTATTTTTGACCTATAAACCACCTGCAATTAAATAAATGTAAAGTAGAGCTGTTTAATGTCATACTGTGGAACATTCCTGGGAGAGCAATGACGTATCCATAGAAACAAGCGAGTGATAGACCTTGACAAACCACCACAAAAGTTACACAGGGCATCATTAACAAATCTATCATACTCTCTCTTCATAAGTCAGCAACCGAAAGTTACACAGTGCACCTTTTATTGATTATGCCTTATTTGACACTTTTCCTTTGCTATTTTTGCCACTATTTTGCATGTTAATGTGTATTTCTGCTGTTTGTTATTATATTGTAATGCGACGTGTGAACTGTTGCGTCCAAATAATTTCTCGTGGATCAATGAAGTTTGTCCAAGTCTTAAGTTAAAGTGGAACTAAACACCACATTTTTGTTACTAAACTGTAGTCCTCGTTGGCAAGTTTACTACAAATTTGCAGCTTTCTGGTCAAAAATATATAGATCTCAGTTTTTGCTGCCTTCAGTGACCTCTGCGATTTCAAGTACTATGTGACATCACACAAAACTGCCCTGAATATAGCCATGTTTTGGCTTTTTAGTTTGACAATCCCTCTTTAAATTATGGATTTGAAGGTTGTTTTAGGGACGCACTGATCCGTCTTTTTTCAGTTCTGATTCCGAAACCAGTAGTTCGACTTAAAATATTTGCTAATGCTCGATATTAACCAGTGTATGAACAGAAAATGTCACTTATTTTCTTAAAACACAGTTAACTTATTACCCAAGACATCAAATTGTGTTAAGCAAATGTTATTTATCCTTCAAGGAACTACAGGAACACTTTGTATGAATAAAAGTTTAAACATAATGAGACATTCTAGGCCAAAATCAGCTTATAAATTGTCTTTTTACATCTAATTAAACACCCAACCAGGATATCATCTTAATCGATATCATGGAACTGATACATTTTTCAATATCTGTGCCGATATTTGGTGCCAAGATTGACATCCATATTTATTTTCTATACCCTGTCTCATACTTTCTACACTCTGACATCTGTATCTCCATGTCTCTGCGTCTACGCGGACAAACCTGTCACTCAAACTCCTCTCCTGTGTCAAACGCTGATCGAGCTGAGCAGTTATGTGGTTTAAATTGATGTTACAAAACCGGTACAGTCTTTTCGAAGGAGCTGTGTGTAAGAGTTTGATTTCATTTCATAAACATGACCTATCCACAGACACGAGGTAAAACAGCTTTTACTGAGAACGAGGGTGATGCTGATGTATTCATAAGTGCAAAAACGTTGGACACGACGACCGAGTTGTTTATGTTATCATTTGGTGTTTTGGTTCTCAAGACGTTTATCCGACCAGAATGAGCCAAATGATTCGTGAGTCATTTGGCAATCTAGGTTCAGTTGTGATTGTAGTACCTTTTTTAAAACCTGTAAGATCGCAAAAAAAAAAACAAAAAAAACATTTGTAAACACTAGGGATGTAACAATAACCGAAATATCATGATATCGTATCGTCAAATTTCTCGCAATAATATCGTGGACCATCACAATATATCGAAATAGAAGTGTCTTTGCTTAAATTAAGAGTTATGGTGCAGCAATAGCTAAAAAAAAGACAGAGGGAACTACATAGACCATGATCCTTTGCTCCATTTCAGTGCAGACGACAAGAAGAAATAACAGTTCTAAGTAGGGATGTCGCAGTAACCGCAAAAATGAATCACCAGGATCAACCCAGGCGATCAACCCGCACGGGACTCAACCCGACTGACCCGACCAACCCAGGAGGACTAACCCAGGACTAACCCAGGACCAACCCAGGACCAGGACTAACCCAGGACTAACCCAGGACTAACCCAGGACTAACCCAGGACTAACCCAGGACTAACCCAGGACTAACCCAGGACTAACCCAGGACTAACCCAGGACTAACCCAGGACTAACCCAGGACTAACCCAGGACTAACCCAGGACTAACCCAGGACTAACCCAGGACAACCCAGGACCCAACCCAGGACCAACCCAGGACTAACCCAGGACTAACCCAGGACTAACCCAGGACCAACCCAGGACTAACCCAGGACTAACCCAGGACTAACCCAGGACCAACCCAGGACTAACCCAGGACTAACCCAGGACTAACCCAGGACCAACCCAGGACTAACCCAGGACCAACCCAGGACTAACCCAGGACTAACCCAGGACTAACCCAGGACTAACCCAGGACCAACCCAGGACTAACCCAGGACCAACCCAGGACTAACCCAGGACTAACCCCAACCCAGGACTAACCCAGGACTAACCCAGGACCAACCCAGGACTAACCCAGGACTAACCCAGGACTAACCCAACCCAGGACTAACCCAGGACTAACCCAGGACTAACCCAGGACTAACCCCAACCCAGGACTAACCCAGGACTAACCCAACCCAGGACCCAACCAACCCAGGACTAACCCAGGACTAGGACCCCCAACCCAGGACTAACCCAGGACTAACCCAGGACCAACCCAGGACTAACCCAGGACTAACCCAGGACCAACCCAGGACTAACCCAGGACTAACCCAGGACTAACCCAGGACTAACCCAGGACCAACCCAGGACTAACCCAGGACTAACCCAGGACTAACCCAGGACCAACCCAGGACCAACCCAGGACTAACCCAGGACTAACCCAGGACTAACCCAGGACTAACCCAGGACCAACCCAGGACTAACCCAGGACTAAGGTGCGCCTGCATAGACTACCGGGTGACCGCAGGCGAAAGGACCGCTGCAGAGCTCTGCGCCGCACGGAGGTAAACGCAGCCATCACCCGATCGCGCTTTGCGGTCACCTTCTCCGCATGCTCGTGCTCGGGGTTCTCTCTCTTAAGTCCGCGGGTACCTGAGCCGGTCCAGGACTCTGACCCGAGCTGCCACAGTGAGAGCTGGAGAGACGCAGCGGCACTTGTTCCAACCCCAAAAGTTACTGCTCCCGCTACATACGTTACATCCACGCAACAACCAAGGTACATGTGCATCTGTAACAAGAGCATCGTCAGAGAAAGTTTTCAGAGCTGCTGGAAATATTTTAACTCCAGGGGATGGGGTGGGGGAGCGTGCTGTTGAGTCGCTATACCACACCGACAGCCCTAGTTCTAAGCACTTTTAAGTCTTAGTTCACTAGCTAGGACCACACCAACAACGACATAGTGCGAAGAAGTTTATTGATAATGTTCAAAGCGGGGCAGAGACGGCTGGGTTGAGACTCTATGTGGGGGTTCTGCCTAAATCTTCAGTTGGCCCAGCGGGAACGGGACCCCACTTGTAGTCGTCTTATGACTGAAAGACAAAATAGGGGATGGGAGGGTGGGGGGGTCGAGCCGAGACAAACTGGGATGATGGGAAAGGCTGCTACATATCGGCTTTTGGGGAATTATAGGCGTGGTCGAGGTGAGTTGTGGTTCGCTGGTGAGAGGAGAGGGCGGCTGAGGCGTGGTCCTGCTCCTGAATCTCACTTAATCATATTAACTACATTTGTTTGGATTAAAGGTTGTATAGAGGATTTTCCAAGGAACGAGAAATCCAGCGACTGTTTGTCCTTTTTCAAATGTTGCGCATGCGTGAAACCACCCCCCCTCCCCTACAGCTCCTACGTAGAAACGCCTCCTCCTGCCTCCTCTTTACGCCAGAAACAGGTTTGTTTACAGCCGGTGCTGCACATGACTTGTAAACAACTAACTACAGTGTTGGTTAGGCAAGACGGAGAAGTGAGGAGCAGGGAGAGGAGAGAGGAGAGGAGAGGGGAGCGGGTGCGCGGAGATTCCGTGCCCGGAGAAGTGAGTGAGGAGCAGGGGGAAGAGCGGATCGGGCAGCGGGGAGAGGAGCAGGAAAGGGGTGCAGAGAAGAGTGCGCGGAGATTCAGTGCGAATGAACTAGCTACAACACGCAGCAGCAAGCGGACTCTTTCTTTGCCTTGAAAATTAAGTTTTCAGACATAGGATATCGCTTTCGTGTCCTGAAAAACGTTTGTCTAGCTCTTGGAAATAAAGTACGTTTTCATAATAAGCAGAAGTTTCCTGTCCAGGAGTAATTTGGCGACCAGTGCGTCAGTCTTTAGACCCTGCGTCTGCTTCAGTTGCGCCATCGCTGGAATGAATCTTCAAGAATCACCTTAGTTTGGCTTCGCTGCTTTTCCCCTTGTCTTCTTCTTTCAGCGACCCCAAAAACGGACTTTCTTTTGCGGCGAACTGCTCCTGGATTCTTGTCGCCATTGCAACAAACTTTGTGCGAACTGCGAGGAAGATATAGGTCAAAAAAAGCCACTAAGAACTGTTGCGTTGGTGGAGTAAACAGCGTCTGTGCGGCTTGCGTCTGTGGACTGCGTGACAGGCGTACGTAAACCACGTACCGGCGGCGCGCAGGCAAGTCAGTTACGCTAGAAACGTAGGGAGTTTGATTGACAGCCTGTCAGCTCACAGATAACGAGGCAGTGTCGTTATCTATTGGCAAATGTTTAGCCCCACCACGTCCAGAGTTGATGAATTTTTATTCTCTTTTTTTTTGGTCATCATAATTACAAGGCTACTGCACCTCTATAATCTATCATTGACAACTTGAAACAAAAAAAAAAAAAAAATCCTCCATACAACCTTTAAGTCTTGTCAGGGCATTTTAAGAGAAAAAAGGAGCATATTAATAGTTTTGTTACCCTCCTGAATATATGGCAATAAATATTGTACCTTGAGATGTATATCGTGAAAACATCGTAACGAGAGATTTGGATATTGTCACATCACTAATCATGAGCCTCTCCAACATATCGTGAGCTTTCCCACAATAAATATCGTACTATGAGGTTCATACTGTGATGATATCGTATTGTGAGACTTGGACATGGTTACATTTGTAGTAAACACTTAACCTCAGTGTAATGTCTTTCCCACAGATGGAGGAGGAGGAAGACGAGATGTGCTACGCTGAAGGCACCACAGACAGTGAGTTAACATTGATTTCACTACGTCCGTGTATCGATCTGAGTCTGAACAGTCAGAATTTAAAGACGGGGTTTAAAGTGACGCATTAGTGATCAGATTTGTGATTTATGTTGATCAGTGCTTTAATTGTTTTACAGGTTATTGCACAGAACAGAAGAAACCAAAGGTGGTCTTCCTCATGGGTAAGTTTCACACACGGGTTTTTAGAGTGCAAGTCTGTATGGAGTGAGAAATCCTGGTTTAGTCCTGTTGGAGTAAGAAGGGTCCTGGTTTAGTCCTGTTTTAGTCCTGGTTCAGTTCTGCTTTAGTTCTGGTTTTATCTGGTTTAGTCCTGTTTTAGTGCTAATTCAGTCCTGGTTTAGTTCTGTTTTAGTCCTGGTTCAGTCCTTTCTTAGGCCTGGTTTTATCCTGTTTTAATCCTAGTTCAGTTCTGGTTTAGTCCTCCCGGTTCAGTTCTAATTTAGTCCTGGTTTAGTCCTGGTTTAATCTTGTTTTAGTCCTGTTTTAGTGCTAGTTCATTCCTGGTTTTGTCCTCCTGGTTCAGTTCTGGTTCAGTCCTGGTTCAGTTCTGGTTTAGTCCTGGTTTAGTCGTGTTTTAGTCCTAGTTCAGTTCTGGTTTAGTCCTGGTTCAGTCCTGGTTCAGTCTTGGTTTAGGCCTGTTGTAGTCCTAGTCCAGTTCTATCTTAGTCCTCCTGGTTTAGTCCTGGTTTAATCTTGTTTTAGTCCTGTTTTAGTGCTAATTTAGTCCTGGTTTTGTCCTCCTGGTTCAGTCCTGGTTTAGTCCTGTTTTAGTCCTAGTCCAATTCTAGCTTAGTCCTCCTGGTTTAGTTCTGGTTTAGTCCTGGTTTAGTCGTGTTTTAGTCCTAGTTCAGTTCTGGTTTAGTCCTGGTTCAGTTCTGGTTTAGTCCTGGTTTAGTCCTGTTTTAGTCCTAGTCCAGTTCTAATTTAGTCCTGGTTTAGTCCTGGTTTAATCTTGTTTTAGTCCTGTTTTAGTGCTAATTTAGTCCTGGTTTTGTCCTCCTGGTTCAGTCCTGGTTTAGGCCTGGTTTAGTCCTGTTTTAGTCCTAGTCCAGTTCTAGCTTAGTCCTCCTGGTTTAGTTCTGGTTTAGTCCTGGTTTAGTCGTGTTTTAGTGCTAGTTCAGTCCTGGTTTTGTCCTGGTTTAGACCTGGTTTAGACCTGGTTTAGTCTTGGTTTAATCCTGTTTTAGTCTTGTTTTAGTGTTAGTTCAGTCCTGGTTTGTCCTGGTTTAGACCTTGTTTAGTCCTACTGGTTCAGTCCTGAGTTAGTCCTAGTTCAGTCCTGGTTTAGTCCTGGTTTAGTCCTGGTTCAGTGCAGGTTCAGTTCTGCTTTAGTTCTGGTTTTATCTGGTTTAGTCCTGTTTTAGTGCTAATTCAGTCCTGGTTTAGTTCTGTTTTAGTCCTAGTTCAGTTCTGGTTTAGTCCTGGTTCAGTCCTTTCTTAGGCCTGGTTTTATCCTGTTTTAATCCTAGTTCAGTTCTGGTTTAGTCCTCCCGGTTCAGTTCTAATTTAGTCCTGGTTTAGTCCTGGTTTAATCTTGTTTTAGTCCTGTTTTAGTGCTAGTTCATTCCTGGTTTTGTCCTCCTGGTTCAGTTTTGGTTCAGTCCTGGTTCAGTTCTGGTTTAGTCCTGGTTTAGTCATGTTTTAGTCCTAGTTCAGTTCTGGTTTAGTCCTGGTTCAGTTCTGGTTTCGTCCTGGTTTAATCTTGTTTTAGTCCTGTTTTAGTGCTAATTTAGTCCTGGTTTTGTCCTCCTGGTTCAGGCCTGGTTTAGTCCTGTTTTAGTCCTAGTCCAGTTCTATCTTAGTCCTCCTGGTTTAGTTCTGGTTTAGTCCTGGTTTAGTCGTGTTTTAGTCCTAGTTCAGTTCTGGCTTAGTCCTTCTGGTTCAGTTCTGGTTTAGTCCTGGTTTAATCCTGTTTTAGTGCTAGTTCAGTCCTGGTTTTGTCCTGGTTTAGACCCGGTTTAAACCTGGTTTAGTCTTGGTTTAATCCTGTTTTAGTCTTGTTTTAGTGTTAGTTCAGTCCTGGTTTGTCCTGGTTTAGACCTTGTTTAGTCCTACTGGTTCAGTCCTGAGTTAGTCCTGGTTTAGTCCTGGTTCAGTCCTGGTTCAGTCCTGGTTCAGTCCTGGTTCAGTCCTGGTTCAGTCCTGGTTCAGTCCGTATGCAGTGCAAAAGTTCGGCATCTCGATCAATGTTTCTTCTGCTCAATAACTAAACAATGCCAGTGAAGTGATGACTTATAACTTCTTGTCAAACCTTCTAAACTTCAAACACCCTGTACCTAAGTTCTTTCCATGTATTTGACCAAAGTTTGCCCCAATACAGAAATATTGTTTAAGCAGCTCTTGAGGGTCCGTGTACCATTCGATCTTTTGAATTTCAATTAAGAACAAAAAACAATAAAATGGGAAAACAGTTTATTTCATTTTTCATTTTCAACAGTCTCGGTGCCTATTTTAATTTTGATATTTTATTTTGTTTGGTTTATTTGCCCCAGAAGATCTTTTACAGTGTCAACAATGGATCTATAATCATTCTAATAATGCCTTAAGCCGGGTTTACACTGTGCGATTTTTGACTCTTTTTGAGACGATTTTTCACTCGTGCGACTGTTTTGAGGATCGGACCGAATTTTGGCTTCATCATGTGTCATGCTTCATGCAGTAAACATGGAGTAAAGAGAACCGATTAATACGTCACGACCAGCTCCCGATCGGCATTCGTAGGTCACAAGAATATCAAACTCTCGTGAGGGTTTTGCTCTGTTGAATTAATTCTACGAGCCGATTTGCCAGAATCCGTCAGACTGAGGATGCGCGGACACAGAAGTGGAAGCAGGACATGAGGTTGTGGAGGACGACGGCGCCGGCGAGTGTTTTGGACACAGGACATGGAGGCTCAGCTAATCGAGCAACACAGAACAGAAGTTTGGTGAAAAACTTGATGCTACTTACCTCCAGTTCCCTCTAAAGAACAACCTGTACTGCCCACGTCTGCCCACGCCTGCCCACGTCTGCCCGGCCATTTCTTTGAACATATTCGTCGCCTCTTTGGGCTTGTCTGCGCAGAGAATGGCACAAATTGCCAAGGCAGCGCGTTTGTTTTTTTGCCTGGATCAGCATTGTGTCTCCGCACATCTGTGGTTTTCTAATTCTGTGGTTTTCTACTTCTGGAACAACAACTCCGGTCGTTATGTGAACATACAGTGTGTGTAAGCAGGTCGCATCCGAGCATCGGTTCGTTCAGTGTGAGAACATGATTCGTGAGCTGTGAACTTTTAAATCCTGCGATTTGGTCGTACAGTTTAAACTGGAGGCTGAGTGACACGGCTGAAAATATCGCACAATGTACACCCAGCATTACCTGAAACATCGTTGCAATTTTGTGGACAAACAGCAACGCGTTTACTTTCGCGTCTTAGAAAGTAATTGCTGAACTCCATGACGAGAAACAAGTAGCAGCGAGGCAATAAACTTTGTTCAGTTGACACCATAGAAGTATTTTTAAAAAATATTTTTATTATCATGGTTGAAACTGCAGCAGAACTTCCGGGAAAATTGAACCAGAAAAAATAAAATATCAAAATTAAAATAGGCACTGTTTTTTTTATGTTGATTGCAATAAACATTAAATTAGATATTGCAAACAAAAGTTGACATCTGTTTTTTAGTTTGACACTAAAACAGAATAATGAAACAACAAACTGTTTTCCCATTTTATTATTTCTCGTTCTTAATTGAAATTCAAAAGAACGAATGATACCCACACCTGTGCACTGTCTGCATATGATTATAAAGCTTTTTATTACCAAAACCTCTGCATTGGTCTCTGAGATTTGCAAAATTATAAACTGTTCGTAGTGAATAATTAGAGCGCTCTGAATGCCTAAGGTAAGTGAGGAATAACTTTGGACCACTGCAAACTGTTTAAAATGAACTTGTTCTGTTTTTTAGACTATAGCTACAGCGTCTTTAACCTTAATTATCTTAAATGTCGAAACAATATTGAAAGATTTACCTCATGGGGACCTGAAAATGCCATTTTTTTAGCTCCCAAAAAGTGATGAACATCCACCGTCACACATTTGTCTCATTAGACCAAAACAAAACACTAATTTTGTCAGTAAAAACAAACAGCTGGGACTTCTGCTGCGGCCCGGCTTCATTTATGAGTGGACTCTTCATGCTTTCTGGCAGCAAGACAACAGTAATAAGAATTCATTGTCTTTGTGCGGCCAAAAAGCACATTTTCAAAGATTGGAAGGCTCTGCTCCTCCCAGCCAGACTAATTGGAAATATGAACTATTATCCTGCTGCACCCCAGAGAAAATTCTCCACACTGTGAAGGGGAAATGACTGGACATCTTTTTTGATCATTTTGACAAGGCAGAATTTGGTGTTTATGAGCCCAGGGTTTTGTTTTTTGTGTAGTTTTGTAGATGTTTTGAGTAGTGGTGTCAAATTATCGCGTTAATTGCGATTAATTAATTACAGTCATATTTAGAGCATTATGTTTTTTAATCGCGTTAATCTCATTTTTAATCTCTAACTTTAGTGTTTCTGTATGTGAGTTTCTTTATTATAAAATCTGTTTTTATGTGTTGTTGGGACAACAACACACACACACAAAACACATTTATACATTTTTTTATTTCGGTAATTCCACTCATTGCCGGAAACCCACACAAAACGCGCGCAGTAACAGCGTAAGTAAACATCATGTTCACGTTGGCGGCGTCAGGCACAATGGACGAGGTCGAAGAGCCAGTAGAACAGAATCAGAAGTGCACAGGTAAAAACACATTCGTGTCTTGGAAATTATTCTCCCGACGTAAAATATAAAAGAAAATAACAAATATAATATCGCCTGAAAACAACCTGCATAGGCTCATGATGTCTGCACTACTGTCCTATAGTGACCTGCCACATGAGGGGACACGCACACAAACACACACAAACACAAACACAAACACACACAAACACAAACAACACAAAACACACAACACACACACACAAACACAAACACACACACACACAAACACACACACACAAACACACACAAACACAAACAAACACAAACACACACACACACCTTCATCATCGTCATTAACCTGAGAACGCACGGACCACGTTTCCTTCCGTAGTTAATGCGCGGACACCGACGTGC